TAAAAAATAAATAAATAGAAGGCTAAATGAGAATAACTGGGTCACATTCCTAGATAAGATATAAATATCCCCGCAAACAAGGTATATTTTGTATGTTTTATATAGTTTTCAATGGTCAAACAAAAATTTGATTTCGTTTGTTCTTTAGTACAGTAATAGTGTGGCGGACTTCACATTAATTTAACTTTAGATAAGTAAACAAGGCTTACGCAAAAAAAGGATAACCAAAAGACATTATTACACATAAAATATGTATTTAACAAGATGTACAATATCAAACAATGATGTGAAGGAAAGCATGCATTTCAGTAAGAAAAGGTTGAATTAACCAAGAGTTGTCTCTCTTTACTGTTATTTTAGTGTTCAATGAGAAATATTCATTTACTTCAAAGTTCACTGGAATGAGAAAAATCTTGGCTTAAATAAACGATATAGGCTCCAAATCGTTGCGCGGGAAGAACTATTCTTCACGTGCAAACAATCTGATTGGTTGGTATCGACCAATCAGCGAGCGAGCTTTGGGGAGACTTAAGAAAGCTTCTGTGATCCGCTTCTCCCAAAAGTGCACAAAATTGACTACTTAAAAATAGAGCGATTACAAAATTGTCTCATTACTACGATTTGTAAATTGCCCGTAGTAATGTAGTCGTGATTTATTAACCAACGAATGCTTGGCGTTATATGTGATTTGTATTTTTGCATGCATGTATGTATGTATGTATGTATATTCATGCGTAATAGTCCGTACTGTAGCAGCAGCCGCCACATAAATCAGCGTTATTTGTTACCGCCCTTTGGCATGTTTTTACTTCGTCATAAAGTCAGTTTACGAACCAGTAACAAATTTTATCAAACTATTTTGGTATGCATTTGAATATTTACTTCAGAGGTCGGCGATGAAGCAAAAACGGCTGGGAACCGCTGATCTAAATGAAAAAAGATTGCCTATTTTGAAAACTTAACCTCAAAAGTTGTTTCTTTTTTTTTCTTTAAAAAAAAAAAAAAGAAAAAAAGAAAAGAAAAGCTAAGCTTGCATGCTGACGAATTGCACCAGTAGAAAACCTTAGCCAAGGCTGGTGCAGATTCTTATGATCCCCGAATCTATGATACGGGGCCTCTCACATACTAATCATTACTATATCTCAGTTTTCATAAGGTAGTATTCATATAAAATACAAATTTTACTGTAGTGTAACCTAATTATGTACAATAACGGATCATATGCAATATAGGTGAACATTTCAAAGAGAAAAAATGAAAATAAAGATACTGTATTTAAATACACCTGTCATATGATAATCGATCATTCCATCTTAAATAAATCAACGATGTTTTGCGACAATTTTTAACATCAACCCGAGATTTTTCTTGATAAAAGTTGAAGAATTTAACACATAATATTATAAAACGTATATATAGTGTTTTTTTTTTAGATTTTTAGCTTGAGCAAAACAAATTCACGGATTGGACACAAAAAAGATCCCAGAATGACGTCAAAATCCTTGAAAATTTTTCATCCATTAATAATAGTCAGTTGTACTTAGTTTGATTTGTAAACGTATATACTGTAGGTAGAAAAAAGTAAATGTTGATGAGATAGCGTGAATCACAAAGCACTGCACGGGGCCCCTAATCCCCCCCCCCAAAAAAAACGAATGAGCTCGGGGAGCAGTAACATCGAACCTGAGAGTTGCTTGGTTTGAATATTAGACAGTGGGCTAAGAATTTTCAAGAATCTTTTCTGAATCAAGGTGTACATAATTACGGTGTCACGAGAAAAACCATACTTTTTGACACACTTTTTTTTGTTTTTTTTTTTTTTTCAGTTACGTAAAACTTTGCCAAAGAATTGACCTAATTCGTACTTGCCAACAATGATTAATGTATCAAAACAATTTATTTATGTCAACAACAACAAAAAAGAAAAAAAATCTTGTGGTTTGTGTCACGTTCCATCATTTTCTTTTTCTTTTTTTTTTTTTTTTTCAGTTGAGAGTTTATGTAAGCTAGAAATATCTGATGTCCTGTTCCCCACATGTTTCCTTTCGTTGTTAGGTTGTAGCATGTTTGTTTACAAACAAAGTCGACAACCGTAGCCAACAGTGAATAACGTTTACCTGCTTTCCACATACGGAACACCATAATTACTGCAAATAAATGTAAGCTTGAACCATTATTATTTATAAATAAATAAAAAGCTGTGACGGTGGAGACAAACGAGACGTAACTGCCTTGTACACTAAGAAAAATGTTTATTTTCGTTTCTTTTTCGATGTTTTCTTTTGTTTTTCATATTTTGGGATAGTTTTCTTTCTTTATCTTTTTTTACTTCTTTATACTTAAGAAAAAACTTTCTAAATGTCTTTTGTTTTTCTCTTTTTCGTGTGCTTTTTGCTATTTTTTATTGACAACTTTCCTTCGTTTCTTTCTTTTCATCTCGTTTAGTTTTTTACTTTTATTACAACAATAACATAAATTATCTTTGTTGCTGTAACTATTCACATAAAAATAAAATGCAATATGTGTACAGTACACTACACTACACACAATGTGTTTGTAACACGTTAAAAATACTTTGTTCTTTCCTCTTAAACATAAACATTAATGATGAAACTATGTTTTTATTAAGTTTCGGACCTTTTATCATTATTATGCTACTGATTTATTGGTGATACCTACACTGATACAATACAGATTCGAGAATCAATCAAATCAAACTAATTATTATCATTCATTAATAATATTGAGTGACATAGCTGGGCACCCAGAAGATTACGCTGGGTTACACGAAGCCCAATAGTGTTGTTGGGGATGTGCAGAATTTATTAATTATGCTTGAAAGAATCAGAAGGAATTTGTGTAGGTTGCGTGACTTTCTGCATCCACAACAAATATAAACGAAATTTGAAATACGATTAAGAAGAACAAGACATATTCAATTAGAAACTAATGTAACATTTATATACAATTCAAAACATTATACAAGCAGGATAATTGGTATATGTTATGTTGGCAAAATGTGTATGATGTTTTAGATTTCAGAATGTCTCTCTTTGTAATCGTTTGTTCATTTGCAGTCCGTTTTAGATTTGTGTTGATATTAAAATTGTTAATATTAAGTGTCTTTTTAGAAGGAGTTCTTAAGGAGTGATCTACCTTTGACTGTATATATATAATTCACTTTAGATAAGCAATGTTTTAGAATCGATGTCCACAGAGTTGGTTGAGTTTTAATTGTGAGTGAGTCAGCGTTGATGTACCTTTGCGCGGTAAAATCGTGATTTCGAGTGACGTGGAGTATGTTTGCAATTTCTCTGTGGGTGTTTGTTACTGACTGCTTGGGGCAGTCGGCATTTACTTTTATAAGTCCTGAAAGTCCGTATTTGGCTCACGGAGTTTTGGCGCAATTTCGTTTTTGCACGTGAACTTTCAGATTATTGTGTCATTAACCAATGAGATTGGTTGATTCGCCTAGTACGGTTTTTATTGGTTGAAGTTTTCCGTACGTAGGCGTAAGATATAGACTGTTCTGTTGCTAGGGGTGATAGGTGGGAAAAAGACGGTTCTACAGTGTCTACCAGACATGCATTATTGCCAAATGTACACAATATGGTGACAGGTTTTAGTAAAAGCAACAAATAGTCTTGCAGGTGAAGCACAGCTCGAAATACCTTTAGGTCGGCTAACTCAGTTCGTACAGACCGTCTCCGATGAGAGCGTTCACAGGTATCTAGCTGTGACTTTCATTTCTCATTGGTTGTCTCACCCTTAAAAACTATAAAAACAAACTCTCGACATCGATCATGAAAGAAGAATAACGTACATTGCATTTAACTCTTTAGGTAACATGCCGAACAGGTGAAGGTCAGCCAACAAACAAATCTGTGATATTGGACGGGAGATCTGCTGTCGCCCATCTCCATTCATTAAAACAAAGCATGAACATGTTAAAACCTCCATTTAATTAAGATAAGAAACAATGAAAGTCATTCTTGGTTTTACCCGTGAAATATTCATGGTTTTTCTACTTGAATTTTCTGATGAATTTTAATTCTTAAGTTAATGATTGAATTCAATAAGCTCATGGTGAGTTCTACGACAATAAAATATCCATAGAAATTCCCCTGTCACATCCTTAAATATTTGAGCTTAACAACTTTAACAAAATATTTCAATAACAATCATAAATATGAATACTGATTGTTATTTTAAGAAGTGGGTACAAATGAAAAGATTTAAAATTGACAACTCTTTCCATTTTACTCAAACAGACGTTAAATCTTTCCTTTTTTTCTTTCTTCCTTTTTTCTTTCTTCCTTTTTTCTTTCTTCCCTTTTTTCCTTTCCTTTCTTTCTTTCTTTCTTCCTTTCTTTCTTTCTTTCTTTCTTTCTCCCACTGTAACCAAGTAGCGTCTATGATATGTCAATTCCGTCTTTTCACGCGTTCAAAACAGAATAGTCCATTGTTTATGAGATACTGACAGGGCATAACGGTCGTGCGAACTTAAGAACTAACTAACGAAGGGAGGCACAAGCAGAATTATAATGGGATTAATAATAATTCCATCTTCTTATTCTCAAGCATTTAATTTTTTTTTTAAGCGTTTCACCCCAAGCAAGACGGGAAGCCACTAGGACGCAAGGGGTTACAGAAAAATTGGAGCAAGATCAGATAGAAGTGATAGAAGAAAGGACGAGGAGAAGGGTAGTGGATAGATCAAGATCAATTTCCGCCATAATTTAACGATCAGCAGCTTGCCATAGCAAATGACCATGAGTTCTGTCATTCCTTCATAGCTTTGCACCAACAAAAACTTCCTCAGAATTCTGACTGTCCGAAGTATCGTTCTTTTATGAAGCATATCATTTTGAATCATAATCACAATTTTACCCAGTAATTTTTTAAAATTTTGTCTGTCACAGCTTCAAGAGAAACCATAAAATCAAGAACAACTACTTTCTTAAACCCCCACAAGCGTGTTATCTTATATTTCATTGGCTTATGGCCGTATCACGTAGAAACACCGGTTCTCGTACGATCACTGAAGTTAAGCAACGTCAAACCTGGCCAGTACTTAGATGGATATGACTTGGAAATATCAAGTACTGTAAGCTTTGATAACGGCTCAGAATTGGAAATCGGAGAGCCGGGTTCCAGTTTCACGCGGGTTCGTTATATTCACTTGTGCACAAATGGGAAAAGATATTAATCCATCTCTTCTCCCCCATCTTTGGGTTAATTAGTAGGACTTGTATTACTAAAACATTATTATCTCTAAAAAAGATTCTTACACTCTCAAAATATTTTCCGGCTTTAAATAACCTGCAGAAGGTTGATAAGCTGTCAAAAACAAATCAAGCAAGCAATCTCATGTTTCAAATCATGTTACTTTTCTGTCTCTTTTTCTTTCTCACCTAACCTTATGTCCACTGCTACTACTATATTGAAGATCCGACACTGTTTTCCATCTGCATATTAATGACGTCTGGCTTTCTTGCACCAATTAAAGTATCTCATTGCATAGCGAAATCCCAGAGCAGCTTTACACTTTCATTTTCCAATACTGCAGGTACATTATGCTCATATCACTTTAATGTTCTCTCTATTTGGTATTTAGCACATAGTATCATGTGTAAAATATGTGTGAGATTGTCGTGTATCCGGATTTATTTATTATTTACTTATTTATTACCACGGTTCGAATACCGGTCGAATCCATTACATTCACTTGTGTGCTAATACCCTTGGGAAAGGTATGAATCCTCTTCTCCCCCCAGCTATGGGTAAATAGCAGAATAGTCTTGGGTGGCAACTGGTCTACCGCAGAAAGAAATGGCAACCTACTGCAGGAAAAATCTGCCTCGTCAGTCATGTATCAAAAGATACATGATCGCCTAATTGTGAATCACGCATGGCACATAACTGATTACCACGGAATAGCGAGAATGACAAAAGATTTGGTATGAAAATTATTTTCTTATATTATGTAGCAAGGGAGTTAATAGTTTATGAAATTTGTGTTTATTACTGTTATGATAACTATAACCACAGTTTTTACTGTAATCAGAAAATATTCAGAAAATCTGTTGGGAAATGTCACTTATTGAACACCATACTTTCTAAACTCAACACGTGTATAAAGTTTATGAAAAAGCAAATTAATGTAACCTATAAAGAACATAAATAAAAAATACATTTGTTTGGTTTTAAATCTATTTTTTTTTTTTTAAATGCCTTGTCTCTTGACTTCTTTCAAAAAGAGAGTGGAACAGTTTCCTATTTCCGCTTATCCGGATATAAATTCAAAAGAATTAGAAGATTATTTCCGAAAGATGGAACAGTTTCCCCGTTGCCTTTTTATTCGGATATGAATTAAAGAGGAATTAGAAGATGTTTTAATGCCATGTCCCGTCAGGACGTATGTGATCACGGCTCTCCACAGACGTCGTTTCTTTATTATCTATAAATTGCCTTGGTTTTCTTCCAGAAAAATAGCGGAATAGTTTCCGGTTGCCTTTTATTCAGATATGAATTTAAGATGAATTAGATCTTTTAATTATATGCCCGTTCTGGAGGTAGATGATCACGGCCCTCCACTGACACTGTTTCTTTTATTATCTGTTAATTGACTTGATTTATTCCATAAAGGTGGAATAGTTTCCCATTTCCTTTTATTCGGATATGACTTAAGAGGAATTAGAAGATTTTTTAATGCCATGTCTCTTCTGGAGGTAGATGATCATGACTCTCCACTGACATGTTTATTTATCTGTTAATTGACTTGATTTATTCTATAAAGATGGAATAGTTTCCCATTTCCTTTTATTCGGATATGAATTAAGAGGAATTAGAAGATTTTTTAATGCCATGTCTCTTCAGGATATAAGTCATCACGACTCTCCATAGACATCGTTTCGTTATTATCTTTAAATTGTTTTGATTTATTCCAGAAAGACAGTGGAATATTCTCCCGTTACCTTTTATTCCGATATAAATTAAGAGCAGTTAGATTTTTAATGCCATGTCTCTTCAGGACGTACGTGATCACGGCTCTCCACAGACTTCGTTCCTTTATTATCTGTGAATTTCTATGATTCCTTAGGATATCTTCTTGTATGATTTTCTGTTACATTTTCCATCGTTTTTGCACCAACTACATAGATGCTCTTTCAGACAAGCAGATACTCAAATCTAGAGTACAAAGTCTACTCTTCTATTTAACCACTAGCTAGAGCTATAAAAAATGGATTCAATCCTTTCTCAAGGGTATTGGTGCAAATTGAACTCCATAGACTTGGGTTTGAACTCTGCACGCTGATTTCACTTTTCGCGATGATAATCATTCAGTGTCGTCTATGTTATTCCTTTTTTGTTTTCTATGCATGACGTAGAAAAGATGTGGTCGCCAGAAGATGAAGTAATTATCAGTGTGCTAGTCTGAGTAGTGAGTTCGATCCTCATTGGTTGCTACACATTTATGGTTGTGCGTCAAAACTAAGCTATACTTTGTATTTTAGTGCGCCTCAGGTTCGGTTAATGGTTAGTGAGTTAGTCTAGTCAAGTTGACTTTTTTTTTTACAGTGATGTTCACTTTGTACAATACTCGAGAGCCACTCTAGGTAGAGGGTCACAGATTATAAGGCATATTTTATCGAGATGTATAGGGATGAAAACAGTTAATCCTAGACATGAACAGGTTAAGATTGTAGTGACCGGGGAAGCATCCTCTAGGGAGACGGTTCCGCAAAGCATTACTACCAAATAGAGAGTTTGATATCTACTGGAGATCCTGCTAAATTAAGTTTAGTAAATAATAACATGGAAAAGAAAGATGGAAAGAAAGAATTAAAGTTGGGACAAATGCCTTCGTAAAAGTTTTGTAAATATTTCCAGAAGTAAAAAGTTAAAGAAGAGTGAGGTGAGTGATGGTAAAAGTGCTAAGTTACCTCTTTACTTAAAGAATTACTCAATTGATGCCTGCAACTTGATTTAGTGCAATGTCTTCGCTTGTTCCATCTTCAAATATTTGTAGCACAGACGTGGCTTTTAAGCCCTTCTAGGGTCTTATACTCTTGCACAAATGTGGCAATTAAGAATGCATTTACACTTGTGATTGTGAATTGGAAGTGGATTTTAATCTGACCTTGTTTCTTAGTAAACACAAACGTTTTTTAATGCTTGCTGAAAACTAGAGAGATGATGGGACGCCTTATTGTGGGGTAAATGTTTATAACGTTATGTTAGTAATATCTGATAATAATATGAGAAACTAAATGTTTATATATATAAAATAATTGTTAATTTACTTCTGGACTCTGTCAAATTAAAATCAACTGTGGAGGATATGTGGTTTCAAAGACTTCATGTGAACATATGAGGGACTCTCTTATCAGAGTCACTTGTTTATATAACTTTGTGTCATCCAGTTGTTTTTTGTGTGTATAACCCAAGTTCAGTGGAACTGTTTTTATGTCATCACAGCTACCAATGTTCTTTGAGGTCTGATTCTGTACTTGGTGGCTATGAGGTCAACCTTCTTAGGTATCTAGCTCTTACAATGTTCTGATGTGACACCGAGTACAAAGCTTACTTTGGTATCTCTTAGAGTAGGCCTAGTACATATTGGGGTTACCACAGATCAATTCCTCTTAGATATAAGGTTCTTGATGGATATTAAATTTGATTCAAATCTCCATATTTCCTACTGTGAATCATATACTGCATGGTAAGCAAGTTAGTTTTGTTGAACATTGATTTTAACAACAATTTTAAATGTTCATATGGCAAAATGGCTATATTTCATTTTGAAGTTCATATATAAAATTTCAGAAAAAAAATGATCTAATCTTCCTCTCTACAGTGAAAAAAGATAAAAAAAAATGACTAAAATTTCTGGGATTATTTACATTATTTACATTCGGACTAATGTGGATAAAGGCGTTGGTTAGATCCAGTGACAGGACCCAAAGAGTGTGAGTTCAATACCCGGTTAAGACAGTGGAGAACTTCCAGAGGGAAATTAACAGGAGATAACTGATAGCTGACATCCATTAGACATGGCATGTGGAACTAGAACAGTCTACCCCAGTGAGCGAAATAAAGGGTTCAGTTTGACATTCCAACCACCTGAAGAAGGCCAGAGCTTACAACGGCCGAAACGTTGTAATAAATATGGCAACAAAGATGAGGACAATAGTCTGAATAATGTAAATAATGTACATAATACCTCATCTCAGAAATATAGACAGATACTAATATCCTTATCTTTGTTTTTATCACGTCTCAGGTCTTCTTCTTTTTGTCCTATGGGACAATAGTCTAATCAATTAAAATGTTGGTTCTGAATTTAGTGGTGTGGGTTCAATCCCTGGACTGAGTAGTCCAGTGGAAACATGACTGACAATAACTGTGATTGAAACAGAATTTTAACCTCGGATGACAATTCTACTTTCTACATGAATAATTGTTACACTACCTATACTACATCATCAAGTTCACTTCTTTTGTTTATTTTATGTGCTTTCATAAGGTAAAATAAATTATTTTATGTGCTTTCATAAGGTGATCATGTTTCTCCACAACTTCCTGTCTCTGAGTTACTCTAAGTGCCTCTTTCTCTTTTACCACCCTCCCCTTTGTTGGTCTACTGTTCATTTAGTCAGATTGATTGAGTTGTTGCTCTCCCCTGCTTTTCTTGCTTTCAACATGACTTCTATTGGAGTAGACAGGTTCACCTATTGCCTGGTTCACACTCTTCCCTGTTTTTCTGAACAGGAATAAAGGTTTATTGCTTGTTCCCTGTTTACGATTAGGCTTCCTGTTTCTTCTCAAATCTTTTCATTCTCTTTCACTCTTGTGTCTTAGTGGCATTATTGCCTTGCTTGGAGCAAAATAATTTTAAAAAAAAAATGAAAAGCCGTCTCTGATGATTAGTAACAATTTATTTATGATCCTATTCCTTATCTTACTTATTTGTGTGTGTCTGTACGTTTATATATTGGATCGGATTTCCTACATTTTTCAACCGATTTCAACAAAACTTCACAGGACTGCATAAAATTACCTTGCAGTGGTTCTGACAGCGCCAAAAATTGGAAAAACACAATTGTTTT